ATAAGGCTTTCAAATAAGTCATGGCTGTACGGCAGTGAAGCATTGGTGTTGAGCACTGATGTCATGCTGTCGTTGATGATGATGATGATGGTTCGAAGGGCCCACATGATCAAAATTAGTTAAGAATGGGAAGAATGGCAAGCAGCTTGTCGAACAATTGTAAAACCAACAAACAAGGGAGCACTTACTACGGGTTCTGTTATGTTATGCTTCTTATAGAAACTCCCAAGGTCATCTAGTGAATCCCAAGATTCTTCGCTGTTGTACTCCGAGGCAAGATCCACATGTTGAATAACCTCCAATACCACGGGCTCAATGTTCCACTAAAGTATGAGTTGGTATGGCAGCAATGGGGAACTTACGCGTGCATCCGTGAAGAAAAGTTCACTTGATGGGATATCCTGTAACTGAATACCGGGATGAAGAATGAAAATCAGTATTACCTCGACCGGCAATCCCTTGGCTCGCTGGAAGAATGTGAAAAGCTGCATTCGTGTAGTAAGTTCAATCTCACGAAGGTCAGGAAATGGGTCAACTTGTGGAAGCCAAGATTCACAGTCGTGTACCACATACTGATGATCCGGTGTGATCCACTGGTGAACGGGGAAGAAGAAATACTTCCACTCTGCGGTCATGCCAAAACGACGGTCTCGAATAATGACTCTATCCAAAAACCAAGCAGGTGCCGGGTGTGTGTGGGTGGTACACCAGAATTCGATGTGATGCAACCGCCGAAAAACCTTTCAATAGAAAGCTTACATACTACATGATCAAGAAGTACCTTTAACCGACTCCATGGTTCGAGGTCGAGAGTGAACTTGACTTGTGAATAGTCTGCTTCTTCCTTGAAGATATTGTCCAGTGTAATCGTTGGCGACTGAGCTCCGTGGTGATCAAACATCACCATACTGACATCGGGGCCAAGCTGATCACCTGTATAATCGCTGCTAACTACACAAACTTCGAAAGCTATTTTCGATGAAGTGCCTCCCATGAGCAAACGATGTCTGCAAGGTTGAAATAAGCGATAAAATCTCAGTGAAGAACCATAAAAACAGTTCGAACAACCGTACTCGAAGATAGTAAATAGTATCACGTTTTTTTGTCGCGCAATCCATCTTCTTGAAGGAGAACAAGCCTATCACCACCGGATAATATCATGAACAGACAGGCTTGAGATAATCGTGTTGACGGTTGAACACACTTCTACGGTGGTCGTCAAAGATACCCAGTTCTCACTGACAACCTCCTAGCCTTCGTGGTCGGGGGTCTAAACATGTGTTGCGAATTGTTCCTTAAAGGAAGGACCACTGTGGCAGTCTCACAACCATCTCTGCCTTGTAGTTAGGCTATTGAGAGCAATAATTGACCTTCTCAGGTTTTGGTATTCATACAGTCACACAGCCCGCATTAAACTAGAAACTGTACAACTGCCCTCAAGCTCAGGACAGTCATGCATGATACCATCGGCCTTAAAACCGATTGGCAGCAGAAGCCAATTTTTCCACCCTTTCTCCTGTACAGAGTTATCTGTCCCCAACTGAATCATACTAGTCTACTCAAGGCGAGTACCGACATCGTTCGATCTGCTCCGTCGTTAGGCACAATACGTACATCTCGTGCAGTAACGGCGATAATCGCTTGCTTTGGTTGGCACTAAGGTTTCAACCCAAAAGCAAACAGGACGCACCACACCACTTCGCTCCGCTAAAAACAGACGTCCTGGTGATAGCTCAATCAGCAATGCAGTGTTCGAGTCGAAAGAAACTTGTACCTGCCCGCAGTCCGAAAACTAACTTTTAGGGCCATCCCATTACATCTTTGAGACCCTTTCCTCATTAAATAACCTATTTAGATTATTCTGCTTCAAGGTGTAGCATGCGCTTCACTCCGACAAATTGTGAAGTGCTACTGTAAGATTGGGTGGGCTCGGAACCTAAACTCATGCTTGCGGATGGACTGATTGAGGTAGTAGACAAATTTCTTTATCTGGACAGCTGTGTCATTCCCGCTGGTCTCGCAAATTTCCATCTGATTTGACAATGCCAGAGCAGCCTTTGTGAAGCAGCGTCACCTGTGGCGTAGCCGTGACATTAGCTTAACCGCCAAGGATCGAGTTAACAATGCTACGGTGCGCTCCATATTACTATAGGGATCAAACACCTGGTCGCTGCGCGCCGAGGACGTCAAAGAACTGTCAGTGTTTGACTATCGATGTCTTCGGAGCATTGTTTAAGTCTGGTGTGAACACCGCATCAACAATGCTGAAGTACGTCGAATGGTATTCGGATCTCACAGATGATGATAACAGCCGACGAGCACCGTGCCCAGACCCTACTTATATTATTTTTTACGGGCTATTTCATGCTAAAGCATAAGCAAGCTGCATGAATCCCACGTACAGAAGCTGTCCATAATCGACGACGTACGGCACAGATCGTGGTCCTGCGCCCAGGTGCCATGTGACTCGAAGCAAGCACATATAGTGATTAAGTGCCAGCATCATCTGTAGCAGAATTTTTAAACCGTGTAATAACAAGTAATAAGTTGGTCTCACTTGTCATAATTCCGTTCACCGTCTACGGGTATGTCCGCAAAGGACGCAGGGGGCGATATCCTTAGAATGTGAATCGGATAGTGGTGGTGGGGCTTTTTATCACGGGTGTAAGCGTCGGATACGGACAGATATATAAGAAAGAAAAAGAAAGCGTTCAGCTGTAGCGCCCTTCCGGTGCTGTCATGCCACCCGAAGGAAGCACGAGGGCTGGGATACTGCCAGGTTGCCCAAGCCTAGACAGGGGAAGTCGAGTGGCAGAGGTCGGATTCGAACCACGGACCTTCCGGTCAGTAAATTCGCGCTCTAACCACTTGGGCAATCTCGCCCGGGCAGCTATATACCGAAGGCCGCGATACGCATTTCATTGTCTCTCAATATCGACATACCTCGTCTAAATAATCTATACAGGAACATCGCAGATACCAATGTGACTGAGTCTGGTAGACTTCAGTCATTAATTGAGCCCACTTAGCAGTCTTCCAAGCATCACGTGTCTCCGGTTAAGTTAGTCTGCCGGCATTTGAAACACATACCCAACCCAGCGCAATTTATGGAGTGCTATTGGCTCGTTCATCGGATGTGAAGATCATCACCATTATCACCACATTGACAACATAACATCAATGTTTAACACGGATGTCTCTCTGCCGCAGAAAGCCACTCTGTGAAAGCCAGTACTTCTGATCACACATTCTTGAAAAATCCTAACAATACTCCGGATAAATCAACAGTCAAAACTATGAAGGCTCTTAAAATCTACAGTTCACTGTGACCAGGTTTGTGGTCCGTACATGATTAACTGGGGTGAGATGGACCAAATGGTTAAGGCGCGAATTTACTGAGCGGAAGGTCCGTGGTTCGAAACCGACCTCTGCCTCTCGACCCAGGTCCATCAATACTATTGACGGCACCACCTTTGTTGTGTAAAGTACTTTTCATAGAACTGTGGAAGGATATAGCCACAGTAAAGAGTGGAAAGATGGAGGATGGACTTTTTGCTAAAATCCCTTTGTTCCAATAGAAAAAGGCCAACAGCTAGGTGTCTATAACCTTCTTAAGACAGAAATAAACACATTATCATCAGAATTAACTTCCAGCCCAAGCTAATCGTCCACCAAGTCGACTTCAGACGAAATGAGACGAGTTACTCAAGTACTGAATCTTTAAGTAACTAGGACTGTATCTGACGCCGTTTGCGAGTATCCAATCGGACAAGAAAATATCTCCCGAATGGCTGAACGCTATAGCGACATCTGTAAATCAATTGTCGAACTCTGCACGCAGTTCAACAACCAGTTGTCACTGAAGCTTCCGTATGCTTCACTGGCGTATTGCTGACAGTTATGTCCAACAAAAAATAAAAGCGCTTCAGCTACGACCATTAGTGATGCCCCAGAGACGTAGGGAGGAGATTCTCTGCTATACGCCGACGAATCAGAGTTAGGGTTTGTGAGTCATGGTGATGACGATGCCGATGGATGGCAATGGATGTACTTCACATGTGGACGATGGGATGTAGACTATCTATCACCAACGAGAAGTCCGTCATCCTTAGTTTGGAGGCATCGCTCATGACGAGGTCCCTATCGAGTGAACAATCCTCTGGGGAAAATCTTCAGGTCGCTACCACTCAAGAACACGGTGGATACAAAAATCGTGACGGTTTCCACAACCTGTCCCGCATGAGTGACCAACCTACAACACCAGACGTTTCATCAGAACCTACAGTCCTCATGTTATCCCCGCATTGGAAAACTTTCCCATCTAGAAAAACTGTTCTTTTTTGGAAAAATCAGGAGGAACGCAATATAAATTGAACGCGGCGTAAGTCCTACAAGAGAATGCACTGACGTTTTTTCACCAAACACCGTAGATTTACAATCATGGTTTTTGAGCCAAAGAGTGGACCCTGTTCGTCGTTCAGTATCTCGGTCCACGTGCAATCGTGATGCATACAACTAAAAATACTGCTGTCGTATGGTTTCACCATTCGCGTCACATTACTTACTGCATACAGCAGGATGGATGGGCGAGAACGGGCTACTGATGACGCTCCTTCCTTTCTCCTTCACGTACTTTTTATTCCCCCCCCCCGCCCCCCCCTCCTTGTCTGCACATCCGCTAGGACTGCCTCCGTTCGTTTTGTATCGGTTCTGGTCGCAACATCCGAGCACCATTCGGTGCCGACAGCCTCAGCCACTTGAAAATCACCTTTAAGCCTTGATACCTGGTCGATCTAACCACTTTTAACGTTTGCACTCTGGAGCAAGCCGCTCTTTCTCTCACACTGGACTCGTTTGACATTGATGTGCCTTGTGCATCGGGAACAACGATTCAAGATACAAGCGCAATGGCTGCGCTAAACGCCTCATCAACCTCCACTCGCTTCTGGCTACGTACCTCTAGCGATCAAACGGCCACTGTGGCAGGATGTCAAGGGGTTGGTGTCGTCTCCAGTCATCGGACATAAGAATCCTCGCTTGACTGAATGTCCGGTGTCAGTCGCCCCTGTGTGGTTCACCTTGCAACATTCGTAAAGGACTCACATGCGGGAAAGTCATCGTAGTCTGCTTATCGCGTCTGATTACGCCCCAACCGACTGTAAAAATAAATAATAAATTGTTCAGCTGCAGCACCCTTCCGGATTCGTAAAGCACATGCGGGAAAGTCATCGTAGTCTGCTTATCGCGTCTGATTACGCCCCAACCGACTGTAAAAATAAATAATAAATTGTTTGTTCACAGCACCCTTCCGGTGCCTAGCTGCCGACATACGATGCTGCCTCCCCCGAGGAAGGACGGGTTAGGAAAGGTCGGCCCCAAAACCCGCACACTCCGATCGCCCAACCGTTGACCGTGACCGCCGGCGCATTATCCAATACGGTCGAAATACTTTTAAAGCCAAAGAGCCCGGTGCTGCTCAAAAGGCACCTGCTGTGCGCAGCCGCATCAGGAATGATACAGTAATGCCTTATTCCCTGCGCCTTCGGGTTAGGCCAACCCCCTGCAGCCGAGCAGGTCAGACTATTGAGTCATCGGCTCCAGGCAGGGTCCCCAAAGAAAACCCTACATTCTCCCACTGCCTCGTGGGTCAAACATTTGAGTCAGAGGCTAGGGTTAGGGTCCCCGAACAAAACCCTACGTCCTCGCACTGCCTTATGGGTCAGACTTTTGAGTCGAAGGCTCAAGGTGGGGTACCTCAACCAAACCCCCTTCTTCGGCCTGGGCAACCGGGAAGTATCATTTGCCCGCGCAGTTCAGCGTCTACTGATGTCCCTCCCCAACCCCTTCCCACCGCACAAGCAAAAGTCGCTGGGCCATTTGACTGTCAGCCATCTGACCGAAGGGCCTTAGGCTCCCCGCTGCCAACAAACAATAATCAAAATAACACCTTTCTAAATCCACGAGATCCTTTCTATATAGGAGCTTTTAACGTCCGTACTCTAAGTCA